CATTCATGAAGACTAGATGAGTATACGCGACTTGTGAACTCGTTCACCGAATTGATGCACTCAAAATAGTGCCCATACTTTTAATTTGTGCCAAAAAAGCCTCTTCGAGAGAAAACTGAATTGTTATTGACAGGAAGTTTCGCATCGATGTGATGAGCTTTTTTTTCTGTAATAAAATTATTACTTCAAAACATTTATTATTACGCATAGCGCATTCGCTTGCATCCTAGCAAAAAGTAAAGTGGATTGTCATCATTCCATTATTTTTCACCAAATCTGCCAACATGAAAGACGATCAAGTCAGCAAGCAACAAGATGTCGAGACTTGCAGTATAATTCAACTCGAACAACCAGCGTTGACTGGTACGTTCATAGACTATATCTTTGATCATTCTCAGCAGCGGGGAATAACTCCAGTAAGGAAAAAAGAAGTCGTAAACCTGTATAGCTCTGGTATGCGCAGTGAAATATCAGCTAGAATATTTTAGTAGCTTAATGACTAAGTAGCACAAGTTAATGCTTGTTGTTTGGAGAAGCGCCACTAGGGTCCTCCGATTAGGATGAGAAGGACGTTTTCATGATGAAGAGCATTTTTGTCCTCTATTGCAACCAAAACATATGATATTAGAGAAGACTTTGGTAGAGAAAAGACATTTTATGATTGCCAATTAGTCTGAAAAACTTGTCGGCGTAGTCCCAAAAGGGGTCAAAGTGTGAAACTCACAAACTCCGACATTGATAAATGTATGATATATTGTCAGACGTTGTAGACTAATTACAACAATTTGTATAGTTAATAGATGAGCATCTAAATTTTATCATTTCGAAAATGTTTGTATTTAGAGTTACTATTGTATCATTTTATTACTTCCATTTAGCATCGTATACTGAAACAAACTTGTTTGTATCGTCTGATATATCTTCAATGTATAACTTCTTTCTCTCTGGCGATAATGTTTAGGATACATCTCATAAGAAGCAACAAATATCATACTATTCTTTGTTTCATCGATTCAACCATCATATTAGCCTGCGATACATGTTGATTTAATATTTCATTATGTTTCCACGTGTACCATCCTTTCTCTGGATGAATTTTGGCATATGATACGCAGTTTTGCCTGAACTTAGAATTCAATTAGTTCATACTTGCCTATATCCGTCCTATTCTGACTTTCCTGGATCAATAATAGCACCGCCTTACTGACTAATATCTCCAATAGGATGCTTTTACTGTATGAAAACTTCACGTCTCCAATATTAAAACTAGTTAGAATGTACAAAGTTCCAAAATGGTCAAGTTACTTTTATTATTTCCACACACTTTCGCGTTGCTACAGGAACCTATTCACTAATCTATGACTTTCTGCCCTCAATTCTTAGGGCTTAGCGAGATTGAGAAGCCAAAGAAAACCTCCATTTCAACTTCCGCTTACTATTACTTTCTTCGACAATGTACATGAGCTCCACAAAAGCAAAACTGCTAACTTTCAGAAGTTAGCCTCTCCTGTTTTTCATTCGTACGCACACCAATATTAACTGACATAGAACACCAAGAATATTCAATAGTACTTTGCACGTTTGAAACGTAGTATCGAATCTCATGACAATTACTTAGAATAGTTTCTATATAACAATCAATTGGATATCTTTTCAGAGCATCCCTATCTGCGATTTTCAATACTTCACGAACGATCCAAACTGAAACCCTTTCTCGAACTTCCCGCATTATTACAAGATAATTGCATTACTACTCAGAGTACCATAGCATAATGCCATCTGACACTCCGACAACGCAGTATATAACGGATGGCCCAGATTAAATGAGCTACTTTTGTCCTCTCATTTTATCTTCCTTAACCTCATTCTAAAAGACTCGTTTAGTATTCAATAGATCGAGAATTTTTTGCTCTACAAAAATGGTATGAGTTTTGTTCGAAAAATATTGGTCTTTTTGAATTAAACAAAATCAAACTAAAAGAAGTCTAAAATTCTGTACTGCACCGTCATATCAAAAAACATTTCAATAGGCAAATTGTGATTATCTTTAAATAATTAAGTGTCGTTTTCAACTAATAATTGATAGATACAAATATTCCACGAGATTGGTTCTCGTGATCATATCAAATGTTTGAATCAAAAACGTAACCTTTTACTGCCATTGGCAACTGAAATTGTCATTTTTAGAAACATTGCAGAAAATTCAAAACGCTTGATATATATATATATAAAATTCTTTACGCATTGTATGTGGAAGATTGTCTAAGCTACTGATTGCTTAAAAAAATATTTTGTATCCTTGCTCTGTCTCCAAGATGCACACTGTGCAAAAGAGTCGATTATGAGATTATTAAAAGAAGAACCTTTTCTTTCTAATTTTCTTTTTTTACTCACAAGAAATACTTATCTTAATGACGTGCTGTGCGATAAATGTCGATGCAAGCTGCTGCTATTGAATAAAATGCGTTTACAAATTTTCACACGAATAAGTTGAATGATAGATTGTACAACATAAAATCGTAACTGGGGTTGCCATTGAGAAGTAATGACATGAAAAACAGATTTAGAAATTTTCGTCCAAACGCAATACGTATTAATATAGACGCATAGACAAGTAAGTAGATTGCCGTTATTAATAAATATGAGCATCATTGGTGATTATATAAATGTTTGGTGTAGATGTAGATGGGTGTGGATGTCGGTTTCGGGCAAGAAGAGACACAAACCACATCCACATCCATACAATCATTCTTTAGAATCTTATAATATTCGAAGTTAAAGAAAAATGAATCGATAATTGTATCCTTGGCTTGATGATTTCATTACTTCGAGAAAAACAGATTTTATGTACACATAGAAAGTTATTTCAGAAGTATATGTGTTGTGGAGAAAAAAAAAGAAAATCTTTTTATATGTCTGATTTTTCTTTATTCGTATTGTTGAATTAAAAAAATATATTGTACTTTTGCAAAATCAACAAGCTACTTGCAAAAGATTTAAACAAGTCTTTATTTCGTTACCCCTCAATGGCAAGTGGAGTTGCCAAATTACTGTGCAGGCAGGAAAAAGCATCTGGTCGATCTGCTTATATTATTGACCTACTGAAGAGGAAAATACTCTGTTTCAATAGTTGTTTGCCTAATGACTCTTCTAGAACCGCTATGAGCGATAAATAGTTAACTGTAATACTGTAATTGGTTAGAAGACAATACACGTTTAGTTTTACACACATGCCGATTAGCATTCTGGATGCAAATGTGAGTGTGGGTCAATAGAACACTTACACTCTAAATTAGAAATAGTTCAAAATACTAATAAAATTAGATCACTTCACAAAATGTCATCTTCGATTTGGTTCAAGAAAAAAACATGTTTCTCGCTTCTATCGCGTAACAATTTTGCGATGAACCAATCATTTAGTATTCTGTGTAGGTTTTGTATTTTTAAAAGACATTTCTTGTCTAATGAATGGCAAACAGTAGTGATATAAGTTCAAGTCGATTTACTATCAAAACATTAGTGAAATTGTTAGATTTGAACATTTCACAATGATTACGGAGCTATGTAACCGATCAATGAATCTCGATTTTAATAGGAAATAAAACAAACTGATTCGGTTACATGTGAAAACAAGTACACTGTATCAGAAGTCAAAATAGGCAACAATATGAATTAATTCCATTCATCTGAGATAATTGAAATTAAATAAATAAACGCCAATTGAGCTAACTCAACTAGAACTCTTATACAATTCTTGAGTTCTTTTGCAACTATTAATAGCCGATTCATTCTTTTTCTTCGTTATTTGACTTGAAAATGCGTCTAATCTGCATATACTAAGCAATTTATTCGAAATGTAGAAATATATGATATAGATAAGTAGGGTACGTGTAACTACGTTGAAATGGCGACGGTGAAGGCACAACTTGAAATTGTAAAAATCTTCAATATATTGTATCTATCTTTACCAAAAACTTTTTTACGAGAACTACCTTCCAGATGATTCAATACGCTTGAGAAACTATTACAATATGTAATTTACAATGAATCTTTCGATGAAAAAACTTATTTTTTCTACTTCAATGCGAATTTTGTTCGTAAAAAGAACAAAGAAAAATGGAAAAGATCAATTTATAAAATTTTATTACAAATATAACAATACTGTTTAGAACTAAACTCAATACTCAACGTAGTCGTACTTAATAAATTCGTTTTCGTCAAGCTATGATAATTTTTAGATTCGGATTATTCTAAATATGAATAATGTCCGAAAATAAATAATAAACTACCTTTTATTATTCTTTGCTTTTTGTTCTGAAGTTGATGTCATTAGTGATCTATGGATATCACTTTTTTTTATTTTACTTAGATATTCTTTTATGATATATTTCGTATAAATTTTCGCATGAAAAGAGGTTTTTGTCTTCACTAGCGCATTTCTAAAGTGTGTAATGATCATTATTTGTCGAATATTAATTTAGTAAAAGTGGTTAAGATTATTATTTGCTGTTTGACAAAGTTGATGATGATGATGATGATGATGATGAGTCACTTTGAATATTTGTTGAAAAAGAGATAGATGGTCATATAGGTTAAGATAAGGAAAGCACACATTAAACTATCATCAAAGTTACCTTAAATTGCCCTTTTTTTTACTAATAATGGTCCACATCCGATGGTTTACTAAAGATCTTTTGGTAAGAATAATTCTATTTTATTATTTTACAAGTAAGTTTCTTTAAAAAGTTACATTGCTTCTAACTTTTAACACTTTCATAGTAAATAATCATTGTATCGTATGCCCTACTGTGACATGTGATTTTGAAATAGACGAATGTAATTGGAAGTTAAACTCAACATGGAAAATTTATCCATCAGGTAGTACACCCGATACAGCAAGTTCTGGTCCAACTATTGATCACACTACTGGAAGTAAGTTAGTCTTCAATGACTCTAACAACTAATATTTTTTTATTCAAGATGGTAACTACGCTCGTTTTATGTCTAATCTTCTATCTGCATCGGATCAATTTGGTATCATGAGTACGAATACTTCTCTTCAACAATCTACTACATTTTCATTTTGGTATTTCATGCATGGAAGTCAAATTGGAACATTAGCATTAATTGTTAATGATCAAACATTATGGGAAAAGAGTGGTCGACAAGGACTACCAGCATGGCATCAAGCTAATATTACTTTACCTGTTGGTGCTTATCTTAATGTACGCATTAGCTTTTGTTATTGAATATAACTTTTATTGAATGAAATATGTTTGAATAGATCATATTTGCCGCTAATCGAACAGGCACTGGTCGATCATCTGATATTGCAATTGATGATATTGTTTTGGAAGGAGAATCAAGTAAGAATTGATTTCTTATTGAAAGTTCTTTACCATTGAGTATT